GTGGTAGATCGTTTGATTGCAGCTCGAAAGATCACTGGTTCAATCCCGGTAGTGCACAACGCTCGAAATTCTAGAAGAGCATTGCATGGAAGTAAAGCTCGGAGCGTTGAGGTTGACATCTAGCGACCGCAGGGTGTGAATTCCACCTTTCACTAAATTGTGTACGGTAAGCACTGTACAATTGTGTACTTCAGCTTTCATTTTTGACACAATTGTATGATGAATGGACTCATGAAGGAGAGGTCCGGGGCACGCGTAATCTGTTGGCCGTACGTCAATTATAAGGGTAGTCATACAATTAAATAAGGCAAAGCGTAGAAACGATATTCGTCTTAACAAAATTGATCCTTATATATATGTTGCATTAAAATTGCAGAGCTAAGTAACAATTGTTTGCGGTAGAAGCTTTTAGTTTTACTTCTGGGTGGCGCAGACGGGCCCCTCTTTGGTGCGTTCGACAACGTGAAATTGTTCCTGAGCAAAATGCACCTCGCCAGAGAGTGTCACTTCTTTAGTCAAGGCCCCATTGACCTCGCAGACACATAAAAGTAAAGGATTTAAGAAGGGAAGAGGTAGAGGTGATGTGTGCTTGTGTGTGCAAATGCAGAAGTGAGTCTATTAATGCTAGACGCAATTGTGTGGGTCCACGCGCAACTGCCTTGCGGGCCACTCAATATACTAAACCTAAGTTTAAAGCTACCGACCCATTCTAAGGTATGTATAACACTCTAACTCAGTCGTTGCGCGAACCCAAAATAAGTACACACTTAATATGCAGACATATGCAGTCTTAACCATAGAGGTTAAACATGCACTAATCATCCTTAGTGGGAATTGAACTCACAACTTTCAGTTTAGCATCACGACGCCAAACCACTTGAGCCAGTCACTATAACTCATGATTTGGTGCAAGCATTAACATAAGCAGCATAACTAACAAAAAAACCCAATTTTTTATCAGAGGGTAGCCCGTACCAAACTTTACCGCGTGATGGGTTCGTCTGCCGACTATGCGTGACAGTCCGACCCTTGATACCTCTCATTGAGAGAGGAGCAAACACGCAATGCGCAGATATTCGAACCGCAAGACATTCAAATTTAGCATCTGTAGCCCGAAGTTCGCTCACTTTTCCATCAGCTTGGCTGAGGTTCACTACCTTTGCCACGCTCTACGAACGCACCTCCTACATTGTGATTCCCTCGCAACACGGAAGTTATGTTATGCCTTTACTGCGACGCTTACCGCAAATTAAACAGAGGAGTGTACGCCGTAGGTTTCGGTGCCTATTGCACCTGTTTGGAAACCGTCTATGACAATTTTCGCTGTTACTGAGTTCAGGAGAGGGTCCGCCGCCATCTAGGCGATCCTTCACTTGAACATAGCTTGCTGTTTCATGTCCAACATTCAAGGGGGTAAAAAATCAGGCGACGCGAACTCCCGCGAAGTCCATTTCGGAAAAAAACTTTACTACAGTTACTGTATTCAAAGCTCCATCCTCGCGCGCAGCTCTCTATTTCGGAGATCTCTAACGAGACTCGCTGATGCTCCTTTTTGATCATAGCCGAGTTTATGGTCATCTAAACCTTTCGTTTGCAAAAAGAATCTATTGCCGTCCCTCGAATGACTGATGCAGCGAGGCTGTCGTAGCTTTGCGCTTTGAGGCAGCGTAAGATAGGTCACCGACCTTTCGTTCTATACTTAGAACAAGTACGAGTTTAGCGGATCGCAATCCGCTTACTCCAAGAGTAATTATTGCTTAACCAAAGGCTAATTAACTCTTCCCTATTGATCCAAAACTGACTTTATTTTTTTTATCTGCGGCAAAGCCGCCTAATTTGAAATGTATAGATTTTATATAGTAAAATTCAAATACATGCATAACTACTGGCTACCCAGCCACGTACCGTATTCTTATTTGAGTCACACCATACCCATCTCATGTGACAAACACACCCTTTACCCAGGGTACGTGTAACCCCGTTACACTCTCCCCAATAAAGATGAGAACATTCACAGTTCCAATCGATTATTGCCTCAACGAGGCTTGCGTGTCCGCTAGACACTGCAACTTGGTTCGTTGGAACAAAACGACTTCCGTGCTCAATGAGCCCTGTGGTAACGACACTGTAGTCAACAAGTCTTGCTGGTTCTGACAACGAACATGGGCAGAGCCCAACTTCGTCTCATGCACGCGGTGCAATGTCAGACAGTGCGTCCGCGGCATCGAGGGATGTTTATCCTAGGCTCGATGAGCATGAGCGTCGCGCTCCACGCACGCTATCAGTGACGAGTGACCTCGTTTAGGATGTGGAGGTGGTTTTCGTGTGCCCGCAATGCGGACAATATCTGTAGTGCTCGCCCCTGGCGAAAGCGCTACAGATGACCAAGCGCTCTTCAAGCGATGGGTGCAACGGCACCGAAACCTTTCCTTACTGTATAACTTACAGATAAGCCACAAGAAAGTGGATGTGCGTGTGGAGCAACACCTCCTATTTGAGTTTGCCAAACTCGAGGCACGCCGTCGACTTCCTTCGGATT